GCAATAGCCCGCGAAAAGACTCTTGTTGAAGCACAACTGCAACGTGATCTGCTCGCCACCCAAGTGTCCAGTGGACCATCGAACGAGGGAGATGCTAAGGTAGAGATATCTGCGCAGGTTTTGGTACTTGATTTAGAACTTTTTCTTTAGCCGCAGGATGAGATCATTAATGAAATGACGACAAAGCTATGCGATAGGATCAATTCTATTAAGACTTATGCGGATCTGTCAAGAGCTCAGTTGGAGAACGATCTGTCTAATGTAAGTTTTAATTGTTCCAGATTTTACCTTTCATGTTCCTCTATTTCTTTTATTCTTGTAACTACCAATTGGATAACCCGTCTTACGATGCACACTGCATTATTAAACAAATCTTATGAAATAAAAGTGTTTGTCTCGTAATTGAGAGAAATTTGTTCATGACAAATTTTTATTTTCACCTACTTTTCATGTCCCCTTCTAGGCCAATCGAGAGTTGGAGCAAATGCGTATGCGCTACGAGAATGCGGAAGCGGCAAGAAAAGCTCTAAGTGAGAAATATAAAAATGCCTTAGAAGGTTACGACGAGACACTCTCATCTCCTCTTCGTAGACTGAATTTGACCGTTACACCGGTGAGGTTCTACTCACGTTCCCCAAATTTTCTTTTGAGCCAAATCAATCTTAGGGAAGAAGAAACACAGACAGCATGACCGCACGAAAGAAGAAGGAACGACGTCAGACGATGTTTACGCCCAAAAGTACGGCAGGTCGTAAGTCTCGAGCTTTCAGACCAGTTTTGTTCGATGATAGTGCAGTAGAAGATGATGCTAAGGCTCAGGGGGTAAGTTATTCCAACCTGTTGAAGAATTCTCGCTTCGCGGTATGTCTCATGTTGAATAAACACCACACTTCAGAATATTGAACAAGATGAAGACATGGTAGAAGAACGCGAGCTTCTACGCCTTGAGATGGATAACAATCGCTTATCGCAAATACTCAGCGAAAAGGATTCACAGATTGAAGGGCTCTGTGAGAAGCAAAAAGAGCA